AGAAAAAGAAACAATCAGGGAAATACTTTCTCACCAATCTCTGCAACCAACTTGAAGGAAGCCACCTTTCCATGTCTCCTGCCAGGGTAGGAGCTTGACTGGGCCTTACAGGGACCTGTCTGCCACTGGACTGTAGGTTTTTTAGGAGTGGATGGGTTAAAGGAGAATTTTCAGGTGCATCTGCTTCATGCTTCAAAACAACAAAAACAAAAACAAAGCAAAAAAAAAAAAAAAAAAAAAAAAAAAAAAAAAAACCCACCTGTATTTAGATTTTGCTAGTACAACACAAAAGAACAGTAAAAGACTTAAACTATTCCCGAACCTGGTGATCCCCTTTCTGGAATCACACAGTGGAACTGTACAGTTGTACACACTCATTTCACACTCTGTGTGTGAGGGAGGGCAGGGATGAGGAGTGGGTGAGTGAGAGCCAAGTACCATGTTATCACTCTACTACTTCTCCATCTCTATAGACACTTACTTGGATGGCAATGCAAAACAGAATGCCATGCCTCCTCTGGGTGGAGCTGCTCACATCTGAGCTAATTTTAAGCCACCATCCTGGCTACCTTTGATGACTGCAGCTTGTGGGTCAGCTTTTGCCTCTAAAGTCACCATTCAGCCTCTGAGCACAGCACACCTGTACATGCATGTGTCACAGCCCTCTCTGAGTCCCTCTTAACAGTGGTCACCATGGAGAGTCTCCTTTGTCTTCAGAAGCTGCTTGTCTGACTCCAATAACCACCAGCTCCATGAACACCGAGACCAGGTGGAGCTTTGCCTACCACGGCTTCCCCAGGACCTGGCAGACCATCTGGCATGCAGCAAGTGATTAATGGTTGCTTAAAAGTATTGTGAAATTTTATCAAGAGTGGAAAGGTTTAGCAACTGACTCATTGGTGGATCATCTAAAAATATTATCTACCTCAAAGCTGGAGAATAGAAAGGCAAGGTTGGCTAGACCCAACTGAAGCCCCACAAAGACAGTTTACTACAGACTGGTGCCTCAAAGTTGGGACACTACAGATGGCTACAACAGAAGCTATCATCTGATCCTCACACTTACCCTTCCTTAACAAATAAAATTGAAAAACAAATTAAAAAGTAAAGTGAGTGAACAACCATCATAGTGTTTGGATACTTAAGACACTTATCTTTCCTAAGTGTGTAACCCACCCCCGGACTCTATGCCTGGGACTAACTATGGCTGGATGTGGTGATGATGGACACTTAGTTCTAGGCAATGGGATACAGTATTTGGAAGCTCCCAACAAGTTTTCTCATGAGACTGCTAGCTGAAGCCATTCCCCTCCTCTTCTAGCTGGTCTTTCTGCCACTTGGAACCAGGATATGGTAACTAACCATAAGGATGAAGCCTCACAGATCCAATAAATGAAACCAATCTTCCCAGAAGATAATGGCATCATCATGTACCTCTTACTTGTCCATCTATAACTTTTATGTGTGGGGGCTGCCTTGAATTTGTAGCAATCCTCCTGTGTAGTCCCAAATATTGGGACTACAAGCATTATCAGTGTGCCTAGCTGTCTATTAACTCTTTTACTTTAAGGTGAAAGGGAAACAAACCTCACTTTGTTTAGGTCATTGTTTTGTGATCACTGACTAGGAGCTAATCTTAACTAAGCCAGCAACTCATCCAAAATGATAGCAAAGGTCAGGTGCAAGTCCACCAGCATGCAAGGTCCATGCTCTCAGGCAAAGTCTGACTATAGATTTGCAGGAGATTTTGTGTATGATGAGGGAATGTTCCAAAAGCAGGAAAAAAAGATTTGAAGGAAGAAAATAAGGTTTGGATGTACTTTAATCCTGCATACTCAGAACTAAGGACAAGGACACACAACAGTAAAGAATTCAGTCCCAACCAGAGATGGACAAAGCAAAACTCTGTCACCTCTGTGGAGCTGGAAATGAGAAAAACAGCCTAGCAGGAGCACCTCCCATGTTTAATGGCGGGCACTACAGAGAAGTGCCATGGAAAGGTGGCTCAGACAAGCAGGAAAGACCTGTAAAGTGGTCTGTATTCAAATAAGCAAAGATGCAGTTCAGATAGACATTCTGGAAAGGGACAAAGAGTCAGTCACATGACCCACATCAAAGGCAGTATGAAGGTCAAAAAGTGAAAAGAAAAGGTCACCGGTTGAAGCTGGACACCCAGTTTTATTCCTCTTGCTCTTTCACAACAGCACAGAAGGAGCAAATATAAACTGTGTTGCAAGTGAGCAGAAATCTAAAGAAAGGGAAATTTCAGAAGAGGGAGTTCACTGTTACCTTGTAGCCCAATTTCTAATGAGCTGTGATGACCATTTGAGCATGGTTAGTCCAATTTTATTAAAGATCAGTTTTAGTGACCCAGAAAAAGAAAAACAGGCTATTATGTCTGGTAAAAGTATTGTTTTGCAGAGAAAACAAAATGAAGGTGTGAAGGGAGCTTAGACAATATAGTTTAGGGTGGGGAAAACAACAGAGCAGACAAATACAGCTGCAGTCTCTGGAGTCCAATCCCTGGACTCACACATAGGTAGAAGACGACATTCCACTATGTTGTCCTCTGAACTCCATATGTGTTTTGTAGTGTGCACACATAACACATAATTTTTTAAAAAAGAAAATACAGTTGAAACATAGGTTGGGAATAGGCAACAGCAAGAAGGCTGCAAATATGAAAACAGGACATGGATTGGGAGGCAGTTCATGACTGCTTTGGGACATTCGATACAGCACTGGGGATCCCTTGGTTCCTTTAGGTGGTTGCAGAACCAAGCTGCTCGATGGCAAACCATAATGGAGAGCATGTTATCTAACAAGACAACAACTATCCACCAGTGTTGAGAGACACAGCAGAATCAGAACACACCCATTTCTGGTAACATCCTAGGGCAACAGAGGGATGCTGGGAGAGAGAAAATGAAATGGAAGCAACTTGAAAGACACCATACAAAAACCAGGCACTGGATTTTGCATGGGTGGTTGCAATAAAAATGAACACAAAGACTCCTACAGGAAAAATTTCAAGAAAATTTTACAAGTTAAAATTTTCTAAAGAATGAATTGTAAGTTTTTAAAGACCTTTCCCCTTCCAAATTCAGAAAACAATCCAAAACTAAAAGTGTTGGGTCCCTGAGGACAAACACTCATGTGGTCATCTAAAACACTTTAGGTCACCTGGTGTCCTTTACAAATTTTATTGCCTAGAGCTTTGTTTACTTTAATTCACATTCACATTTTCATTCTGATGATTTTGTAAATTAAAACAGGGGGGGGGAATAGTGTGTGGGGTGGCCAGTGGGCTTAAAGACATATCTCAACATGTCAAATGCAATTGCTCACAGTGTGAACAACACAAAACCAAAACACGGGCATTTCAAAGGAGACACACAGCTTAATTCAAACATGAAGATCACATCCCCCAACTCTGGAAACTGGGCATAAGAAAATGGGCATGACTCAAGGTGTGCTCATTGACAACTCTCCCTCCTCAGGCCCGACTTTTAGCTACAGCAGTATCAGACATGTTAGGGCTTAAGGTTTTAAATCACACAGGCCCAATTGCCTGGGGGATTAACTGTCATTTCTTATTCTCTTTAAGAATGGACTTGCTTGCTCGCTAGGAAATCTCCTGACAAGAGTGACTTTGGCATCCAAGACAACATTTGGGGTCCTGAGGAGGCAGAATCTGTGCATTCGAAGGTACTGGAACTGTTACATTGAACTTTTCCACACATACACCAGTCCGAGGTGAGGGCTTAGAATATGGCTGTCCAGTCAAACCACACACTGTTATTGTTGCTATTATCACTACTATAGGCAACAGTAGGAATACTTTGGAGGCACCAAACCCTCAGCCTTGCCCTGTTAAGTCTCTCAGAGCCACACTCCTAGGCTCTAACTTCTTCTTGACATTTATTGAACAAATTACTCAAATTGGTTTCACACTTGGAATTTTTAAAACTTTCACTCTTGGAGCTGGAGAGATGGTTCAGTGGTTAAGAGCATGGACTGCTCTTCCAGAAGACCGGGGTTCAATTCCCAGCACCCACATGGCAGCTAATAATTGACTGTAACTACAAGTCAGACACCCTCGTGCAGACATACTTGCTCAGAAAAAAGACCAATGCAAATAAAAATAAATTATGTTTTAAAAAAACTTTCACTCTTATCTTTATGTAGCAGTTTTTCCCCTGTTTTCAGGCAAGGTAGGTGTATTCAAGGGAATCCACACATTGGAATTGACTTTAAATTTAGGTTTGTTCTCTGACGGGGGGCGGGGGACTGGGGCGGATGAGGAGCAAGGGGTCCCAGTGGTGGTTTTCATGACCACACACCAGTCTTCCACAAACGTCATGTGACTACAGGCAACCTATGGACTTTGGGAAGTCAGTCGAGGGCACGGATTAAAGAGCCTCTTCCTTCTGACCTGTCAGCACCTGCAGCCCAGGAGGAGGAACCTCCGAGTGTTCAAATGGAAATGAGTTGACCCCTTCTAGCTCAAACTCTAAAGTCGCAGTTGCAGGCCAGTAAATAACCAACAGCATAAAATGTCTCTCGACAGGAGGCGCCAGAAGGCACCAGGGCAAGGGGCAAACGTCGGCGACCCAATGTGGACCCCCGAGAGTGAGCCGCACTCACCAGCCGCGAGACCCCGGATGGAGGAGGGTCCTCGCCCTGCCGTCCCCAGGACACACACAGGTGCGCGCTCAGCCGCGGGGACAGCGAAGGCACCGCCTGGGCGCGGCCGCCCCCTCCTCTCGCCCCGAATGACCCCAGCATCCTGGAGAGGTGGCGCTTGGGGACCGGGGCCTCCCTCCCCCGGGGGCGTGGGAGCCGTGCGGCCGCCGCTCCGCTCAGCTGGGGACTGTGCCACCTGCCCGCAGCGGGACTCCCAGGTGAGGCGCGGCCAGGTAACCGCACCTGCCCTGCGGCCCCCACCTGCTGCTGCCGCCGCGTCCCCTTCCCCGGCCAGGCCCGCCGTCCCCACCTACCTTCGCGCCCAGAGCCCCCAGGGCCCGCGCTGCCCGGCCGGCCGGGGCCCGCCGAGCGGCCGGCGCTCGCACTCCGCGGGCGACTGCGGCTCAGCGGGAAGCCCCGGCGCTGTCCGGCTCGCCGCCCCGGAGCCGCTCCATTGTGACGCGACGCGCGCAACCGGCCAATGGGCGAGCGGCGGCGCGAACCGCTGACTAAGTTCCCGGGCGGAGGAGGAGCGGAGCGCGCGGGCGGCGGCGCGGACGGGCGGGAGTCGGGGACGCGCAGCGCCGCCTCCGAGCCGCCCCTGCCGGAATCGCTCCGCCGCCGCGGGGCCCGGGCGTCCGCCCTGCCTTGGGACGGACCGCGGGGCCCGGTGACTCACCCTTCTGTTACAGACAAAGCGCAGCGGCCACCTCCTCGAGCCAGCGCCATGCGGCCGCCCGGGTGCCCTAGCCCAGCCAGGCATCCGCGGAGCATGGCAGCCACACGCGTTGCTGGGAGCTGGGGCTGCATTCCAGGAACCCAGGAACCGGCGCTTGGGGCTGTTCCCCAGGCGCGCCGCCCCAGCAAAGGACCCCGGCCTGCTCACGTGTGCATCCCTGAGAAACTTGTTACTGGCACTAGTTGGGCCACCAGGAAGGGTGGGGTGCGCGGTGCAGGGCCTGCCTCTAGTGAAGTCCTTTAACGCGTTTTACCTCGCGCGAAGGGAAAGGTTGCATGGCTCCTGGGAGGGAGGTTTCCATTAACACCAAACTAAGCAGCTACTTGAGCTGGCTTCTGGGCCTCCAAAACCATTCTTTTATTTCTGGTGTCTTTATCTTCCGCGAGGTAACGATATGGCTGGGTGACTACACCTAGTGATAGTATTTCATTGTTGATGGCCACCTGCCCCACCCTCTTCCTTCTCCTGTGAAGTGGTCTTGCATTTGAAGATTTACAAGTTAGGCAAAAATATAATCCCAATCCAGAAAATTGGGTGATTTAATCCTTTTATCCTCCTCCTCCAGTCCTTAACTCGTCCATACCCCTCCCAGTTCCTTAAAAACAGAAAGAAAGAAAGAAAAAAAAAAAAAAAAAAAAAAAACAAGAATAAAAACCGAAAAGCTCACGTCTTTGTCCAGGTCATCTCTAGCACAATGCTTCAATTCAGCAAGATTTGTATCTTAGTTGCTATGGTATTCCCATCCCTATTTTAACAAAAAGTGGTAACAAAACACTCCCAGAGGAATAAAATGAAGACAGCATTTGGATCACCCAATCAGTTGGGCACCAAATAAATACCCATACACACAACTGAGTTATGTAAGGCTGCACTGTGTCCAATAGAGACCGGTATACTCCGTAAGAAAATCACTGGCCTGCCCTGTCCTTGTCCAATCTGTTCAGGGTGACAGTTGTATTGAGCCTGGAAGTAAAAGTTGAAAACCCCATGAGGGCTGATGGCTCAGCAATTGAGAGCACAGACTGTTCTCCCCGAGGATCAGGGTTCTGTGGTGGCTCACAGCTGCCCACCACTCTAGCTCCAAGTGATCTGACACCCTTTTCTGGCCCCTGAAGACACCCACACATGTGGCCCACACACACTTGACACCCATACATGTGGCATCCATATATATGACACACACACACAAGTGGGACCCACACACACATGTAACATGCATACATGTGATAACCAATGTAACACACACACACAAATATTTTTCCTCAAAGTCCTTGAACAGTCAACATATTGCTATTAAATTTGTGTGTGTGGTTCTTGTGCATACATCTGCCATTCTAGACTTAAGTATGGCCCTCAAATTGTTACCACCTGAACAAAGATTTTTTTAAGTATAATTTTGAAAAAGAAATTAAGTTCTGTAAAAGAACCAGGCTATGAGATTATGACATTTTAAGTTGGAAGTTTCTGATTTTACAACCTTGTCTGAATGTTTGAGAAGTGATGTTTCCTCTTCCAGCAGGGAGCAACAGTGATCAAATTCATTTTAAAAATGTTTCAATGCAGGCAAACCCACAGATGTTGCTGTTAAATAAGATTGCTATCCTTACAACCTAATTTTCATCAGAAAAGTCTTCTCCTGTGAGGGCAGTCAGTATTACAGTGGAAGAACAAGATGGATGGTGTCCTACCACATGTAGGAAGCTTCTGAAGCCGGGGGTCACTTAGGTCTCTCTTCTTTATCTACTTTATGCCCCGTGTGCATAGTCGTAAAGAGAAAGACAAATGGCCTTGCCTGCTGTTCTCGGGGAACACATCATCTGGGCCTATAAAGAGAACAGCTCATTTGGTGTCTGGAGATTTTTGACACCCTTGGGTAGGTTTGCAATGAGAAGTCTAAATGCTGACCGGTTTTTGTGCTGGTGACATTAAATCAACAATTCCTGAGGACAGAATCTATGGAACCTTGAGTATGGTTAGAGCATTTGTGATTCTCTCTGGGATTTTTGGATGATTTTATTTCCATAAGAGAAAACTCAAACACCCACCCATGATTTCCACATCCAAATATGCCCAAGTGTAAAAAGGGGATAAAAAATGTTTTATGGATATGAAGCCCTTTCTTTGTGCCTAGCAGCATGGTAGACATCAAGGGAGATATCAAAGAAGCTAAAACTTGGTCTTAGGCCATAGCAGTCCATAAACTTAGATTAACATAGAAAGCAACATCCTGTGTATGCTCAGCTCAAGAGAAGGTGGGACATCGAGACAAAGGCCAGACAAAGCCTCAGGAAGACAGACGCTGAAACTCAGTTCTGAGGAGGACTTCAGGCTGCATCTTCCTTTTGTCTTATCTACTCCAAACATTGTCTTAAAATGGTGACTCGTCTTCATGGCTCTCTCTAGAAAGCTGTAGATTAGAGAAGTGTGCCCATGCATGCGCGTGCACGCGCACACAGGCGCGCCCCCCCCCACACACTCTAGCACACTTCAAGTCCTGCTGGTGGTAGGGTGTTTACAGTCATGTGACAGAGGGAAGAAATCCCAGGAGTGTGGTCAGTTCCTCTGAACAAATGTCTCAAGCAAATATTAGAAATGTTAAAAAAAAAAAAAAAAGTATTTGTTACAAGTTTTCCAACTCAGAGGTGAACTCTGTGACCCCACGAAGGAATTTCCTAACTTGTGGGATTGGCAGTTCTCTCGTGTTAATTTCCTCAAATGAAACAGAAAGCTCTGTGCCTTATTATGCTCCAAAGCATGTGACTGCCTTGATGAGGTGAGTTTTCCTGCTCTCGGACAAACTTTCTGTGACCAACCGTAATAGTTCTTTTTCAAGGGGCTGGAGAGATGGCTCAGTGGTTAAGAGCCCGGACTGCTCTCCCATAGGCTGTCCCAGGCACCAGTGTCATGTGACTCACAACCACCTGTAACTCCAGCTTCAGGGGACCAGATGCCTTCTCAAACATCTGTGCTCATGTACACCTCCCCCACTTACATACACAGAATTTAAAATAATGAAATCTTAGAAAATAGGTCTTTTTTCATCTCAGTGATTCTTCACATTCTCTATGATGCGATTTTTTTTCTTAAACTAAATATAGATCTGATTAGAGGTGAGACTAGAACACCAAGACAACCATAGTTTTCTTGAAACTAGACGCTTTCTTGTGGAGCAGGCATATTCAGAAAGCATCACAGTTCTATGTTTCCTCCCCTTCCCCCCATCCCTCTTCCAGAAAAGCTGTCACTATGCAGTCCTGGGTGGCCTACAACTCAGTATATAGACCAGGCTGGCCTTGAACTCACAGAGCTCCACCTGCCTCTGCCTGCTGAGTGCTGGGATTAAAATGGTACACTACCATGCCCAGCTAGCATATTGCCTTCTAAAATAGATGTGAGCTGCCTTGCACACACATGTTTGGCTTTACCTAGAAGTTCAGGCTGAAGCTGTGTAAGACTATCTGTGAATATCTGTGAGTGGAGCCATCTGTCTGTCTATCTGTCTGTCACAGTTCTCACTGTCTGTCCATCACAATTGGCACCGGAGGCCTCAGCCCATCTATTACTTGGCTTTTCTCACTACTGTGACTGAGACCTGACAGTAAGTAATTTAACAGAAGAAGGTTTATTCTGACCCATGACGGCTGAAGAGCATGGGTAGGCATGGTTTACAAGGCTGCATGGTGGAGCATGCAGTTGCTTATATCCAGGCAGACAAAGAAGGAGAGAAATATTCAGTTATCAACTGGCTTTTTCCTTTCTCCATTTTATTCATTTAGACCCCAGGACACGGGATGGTTTAGCCTTCTGCCTCCCATCCCCCACCCCCACCCCCAGTTAATCTTGTCAGGAAAGCCCTCACAGTGGACACACCCAAAGGTATGGTCCCATATGATCTGAGCAAGTTAACTATGGAAATCAGCTATCACGGCAAGGGGCCTACAGAACACAACCCTGAAAAGATATATCCAGTTTATGAGTTCTTATATAAAATGAGACTCTGATGCTACACCCTACTTTCAGATCTTTGCACAGGACCTTTTATGTCACAGATGCTGCCCCTGGAGGTGTGTGTGTTGGGGGAGGAGTGGATGAGTGGCACGTATATTCTATCTAGTGCCTCTGTAAACTGCCAGTCACAGCCTGCAGCAGCTGGATTCAAGGTGGATGGTAAACGGGGTCAGCCTCCTAAGTCACAAATGTATGATTCCCTCTGCAGGACAGATCTCACCGTTGGTAGCTGTGTCATCATGTCATGTCTGAAGCTGGCCAGATCCCCCCAGGTTAACTATATGGAATCGAGCATGCTGCCATGGCTGAAGGGTCACTCTGACCTCCTCCAGGCTCTTGACATCCCTAGTTTATACATGAATTCCCTTGAGCGTGGGACACATCCAGAAAATGGCCTTGAGAGAGAGCGCTCAGTCAGGAGGACTCCCAGCCTGACGGGGAGGGGGAGGGGGAGGGGGATGGGGATGGCTACTGTACTTGGGCTTGCAATAAGGTAGCTTGACCTAGAAAGCCAGACCACCATCGTCGGAGGCCGGCTGTGCACTCCCATGTGAGTCCATCACCTAGTGTAGTCCCAGCCTAAAAGAGTCACAGCCATTCTGCCATCTGCATTCTCACCACCCACAGTGCTGTGTGCCCCATCTGCCTTAGCCAAACAGTGAGCTTCTGGAAACAGTGCTGGGATGG